GGTGTGCATGCTATCATCGTCCATGTTCCAAGAGCAGTGAAGTGTTATGTTTTCTTTAGGCATAGGGGCAAGAAATGTGGACAGATTTATACGGAAATGCAAATGGTGTACGGTGACAATTGCATGGACTATTCAAATGTCTGTCGATGGTGCAAAATGTTTAAAAATGGTCATTGGTGTGTGATTGTCCAGCAAAACTCTAAAGTGCCTGCAACAAGCTATCTGTGACAAGAGATCACACTTGCAAGCACGCAACATTCGACTTTTTCATGATAATACCAGCTAACACAGACTTTCATCAAAGAAAGTCTGTGACTCATTGCATCCTTTGGATGGGAAATTCTGTATCACCCCCTTACAGTCCTGATTTGGCACCAAGCAATTTCCTGTTGGGTCCTTTGAAGAAATTCCAGGCTGGAGAGAGGTTCCATTCTAATGAGGAGGTTAAATCGTCTGTTCGTGGATGGTTGTATGGCCAGAATCAGCGTTCTATAATGCAGGCATCTTCAAGTTGGTACAAGTGTTTGAACTTGAATGGTTCCTATGTCAAGAAGTAGCCTAATCCACGTGTTTTATTTTGTATATTCTGTATTTTCCATATACATTAAAACTTTTGCTTAAAAAATAAAAGGCATTATTTATTGAAACCACCTTGTATTTCAAATTGTTTTTAAACAGTGAGTTTGATTTTTTTTTAAATTCAAATAAAATATTTTAAAATATAACAAATTATGATAAGTAATAATTATTTAAAACAGTAAAAATAAACATTTGAGAATAAAGAAGTTTTCATTTTAACATTGCAAATTTCTTCATTCCCAAATGATCTGGATTATCATTCAGGCTATATTCAGACTAATAACTAATTAGATAACAAACCAGATAGGTGATTAAGCTACATCTCTTGATGAATGTAATTATTAGAATAATTAGAATTAAAAATTGTAAGGTGGTTATTCAATCATTACATTTCTTTGCTTAACACAATCAGTTTAAATTTGTATTTGATCTAAAATTAAATTTCCTATTTCACAATTCATTGAACATTTTATTTCATTTGTTCCTGAGGAAGGCCTTTAAGGTAGGCTGAAAATATTTGAAAAATGCTATTTAGTTCTTGCTGAACAGTGTGAGGTTTATGGATCTTATATTTTATATTTCTTTTGTTCAGTTCTAACTCTGAAAAATTCTTACTGGATTAGAATTAAATTAGTTTAAACTAATTTAAATTTAGAATATTATTCTGGAAAAAAAATTAGCCAGATGAGACTTGAAACTACAACTCCTGCTGCTGCAACTCTCTCATGCAGATGCATTGCCAGTTATGCTACCCAGAGCTTCATCTGATCTTTGTTTCTAGAACTATTAATTAATTTAGATATAATTATAGGAATATATTTAGTTGTTGTTTACTATGTAATTTCTTCATTGTATTACTTTTCACAAATTTATGTAAACTTTAAATTCACTCTTACATTTTAGTTTTGCTAATTTAACAAATACTTTCATATTTCAGACAATTTCAAAAATGGTGAGTTGATTGGATTTTGCAACTTTTCTAAAATATGAAAATTAAATTAGCAAAACTTAAATGTAAGAGTGAATTTAAAGTTTACATAAATTTATGAAAAGTAATATAATGAAGAAAATCATACACTGCTTTAAAATTATTTTTACTGTTTTTTAAATAATTATTTACTGTGGTTTGTTTAAAATATTGTATTTGAATGTGTTTATAAATTGGACTCATTGTTGGAAAAGAATTTTAAATATATTTTATTTTAGACTGAAGAAGCCTTAATTGTTCTAAAGAAAAAAGTGATTTTATCAATTAAAAAAACTAAGTTTGTTAATATATTATTGAATGTATTATAATTATCAACTTTAAAGGATTGTGGAAGATTGAGAAAAATATATGTATGTATATCATTCTAAAATCTGATAAATATTTTTAAAGTTTTGTTCTCAAATACATCATTTGACTTTTGTTTAATTGAAACTGAACAATTTACAGAATATATTAAAGTTACTGCTTAGATAATGAAACTAACAATGAATGGCCAGCCTTTAGAATATAACATATAACAATATGTATTAATTAAATTATTAATATACAAATTGATAAATTAATTAATATGTTAAACTGTTATATAATCAATAGAGCTTGACATTATAGTAAACAAATAACAAATGTATCATAAAATTACTACTAAGTAGATATTAAACATGATTATAAAAGACAGGACAACCTAAACACAAATGATTTTACATTATATTTGTTGATTGCTTTACTATATCATATTCTATTGATCATGTAAAATTTTAATATATTAATTAATCCATTATTTAGTCTAATAATAATTTAATTAATATATATTGTTATGCTACATCCTATAGACTATACATTTGCCATTAGTCATGACACCATTTTAAAGACATTCTGTAAAATTATTCCTTAGCATTTGAATAAATATTAAATACTGTATTATTGCTGTACAATATTATTAAATACTGGTGAAGCTAAAAATTATTGTTAAATTATGATTTCTTTAATTACTCAAACAATACATTTATTTGATTTTGACAATTTGTCTATTATGAGTTTGACATATGCAGGTCTTCATTTAAGGTTGAAATAAACAATAGATGATAACATGTTTTTGTTAAGAAATTTTTGCAATTATTAATAAATTTAAAAGTTAAAATTCATAATAATGTATGTATACTATATCACAAAAGTATCTGGGACACCTATAAGATGTAAGAGTTTTTTAGTTGTAACTCTTACATTAAATAGGAAAAAAATAACAACAGATCTGAAATCATCAGTCTTTTTTTACGCTATAAAAAAATATTTAAATATGCAAAAAACATTAGTCAAAAAGAGAAATATAATTTTATTTCAAACTGTGAAATTTTTCACATCACAAAAGTATTCAGACAGAGGAAATAGATGATGGAAAGTTTCAGATCATTTGCATAAAAACATGTCTCCAATGGTTTGCATCAACAAGTTAGTTAAAGTATTTGCTTGATACTTCAATTGTTTTCATTGTTTACAACAAGAAAAGAAGACAAAAGAGTTAACCAATCTTAGAAAGAACTCATTAAGGAATGGCAAAAGGGGAAATCTGTACAAAATCTTTCAGAACAGTTTCACATTCCAAAGTTCACAATACAAAATACAATTATGAAATTCAGAACAACAAACAGTGTAGTAAATAAGGCTTAAACTGGACACACTAAAGTATTTACATCAAGACAGAAACATGTCATCATTAGGAAAATGAAGAAAAATCCAAATAAGTCCTCCTAAGCTTGCTGCTGAGACTTCTTAAAATTTAGAGTAAAGACATTTGCAGAAACTGTGAGAAGAATTTTAATAAAAAGTGGTTATAAAAGTTGTGTAGCTATGGAAAAAAACCATTTATCAGCCAAAAAAATTGGCAGAAAAAATAAGTGCTCCTAAGCTTGCTACTGAAACTTCTGTAGAATTTGGAGTACAAACATTGCAGAAACTGTGAGAAGAATTTCGAGAAAAAGTGGTTATAAAAGTTGTGTAGCTATGAAAAAAACCATTTATCAGCCAAAAAAATTGGCAGAAAAAATAAAAATTTACAAAAGTTTTATACAAAACCAATGACATTTTGGAACTCAGTTTTGTGGTTGGATGAATCCAAATTCAATGTTTTGGTTCAGATTGTCACCTAAAAGTATGGAGAAAATCTGGAAAAGCTAAAAATGAAAAACCTGAATCCTACAGTGAAATATGGAAGTGGTTCAATGCTAGTGTGGGGTTATATGGCTGCAAATGGTGCTGGAACTCTGGAATTCATTGATGGAATAATGAATCAACATTTGTATAAACAGATTTTAAATGAAAATGTTCAGAAACTGCGGTAAGAAATTGAAGTTAGGGTGAGGGTTTGTTTTTCTATATGACAACAATCTGAAGCATACTTCGAAATCTGTAAGTTTCTTAACGTGCACTGTATAAAAGTTCTCTGGCCTCCACCATTGTCCAGCCTCAACCTGGTTGAACATTTATGGAATCATATTGAATAGACCATCAAAACAATCAATAACAAATAAAACTGATCTTAAAAATCATTATCATCAGAGTTTGGAATTTAATAGACAAAAGTATTACAAAAAAATTGGTTGAATCAATGCTTAGTCATTTAGATGCTGTAATCAGGGAAAAAGGAAGTCCAATTCGTTTTCAAAGGTATAAAATTTTGTTTTTTCATTATTTATTTCCTCTGAAGATATAGAAAAATAAGCAATGCTACTAAGTAAAAATAAATGAAAGTGAACAAGTTGTCTATTGGTGTTATCAGATTTAACTACTGAGAACAAAATATGAGAATTTTCAATGGTACAATGAACATATTTTCAATTTGTATTCCATGCTTCTACACATAGAGCAAATTGAAAATATGTTCTGTTTTTTGAATTATTGTGTTCTAACTGTCACAGTACCTGAATATGACGGTTATATACCATTGAAAGTCTCATATTTTGTTCTCAGTAATTAAATCTTGTTCTGATAATGCCAAAAGAGAACTTGTTTATATTTATTATTTCCTCTGTCTGGATACTTTTGTGATGTGAAAATTTTCACAGTTTGAAATAAAATTATATATTTCATTTTGATTAATGTTTTTTGTATATATATTTTTTCCTAGTGTAAAAAAGTCTGAGGATTTCAGATCTGTTTTTTTTTTTTCCTATTTCATGTGAGAAATGATTTATAACTAAAAACTCTATGTGTCCAGATACTTTTGTGACATAATTAATTTATTAATTTGAATATATACTATCTTTTACAGATACTAAATATACCAAAGATAATAATGCAAGATACATCTTGCAGCATTATTTATCACAGAAATATCATCTCTAATATGTGTTTTGAATTTTTATTTATACTCTGAAATGAGATATTATTTAATAATATATTAAAGCATTTGAAGAACATAACTTACTTTATTTTTTAGGATGCCTATGGAGTTACCCTAGGTGCAATAATTGGTCATTCAATGTGTACACTATTAGCTGTTGTTGGAGGTCGAATAGTTGCTCAGAAAATATCTGTGCGATCAGGTTTGTTATACCATATCACCATTTTATTTATTTATATATACATAAATTTTTCTATGAAGCAGTGATTTGCAATTATTATAAATATAAAATATTGCATCACTTGTCTTTATGATAAATACTTACTTTTAAAATTTTAGTGAGACAGTTTTCTAGTTTCTTAGAATTTAATATTTTAATTTAATGTAAAATTAATTGAAGTAAATTTTAGTTACGCAGTAAAAGTTTGTTTACAATTTAAGCAAGATTTTGGGTTTGTATTAGCAAATATTTATAGCATTACCATCATATCATTTTTATCAGTATTTAGTTCCATAGAATAGAATTTTTTAAATTAAAATTTAATATTATTTTAAATTACTGTATAATTTAAANTTGGATTTAATTCAGCATTCACTATTATTTTTATAGTCTAATGAATTGTTTAAGATTGGTTTCCTTAAATTTTTTCCCACGTGTACTGTACATATCTTCCATGTTTATCTTCCTCTATTTGTTAAGGGTATGTACAAAACAATATGACGATATTCAATCAATATTTATAAAATACATTACAAGTTTCAGATTTTTCTCCCCTTAGTATTTTTATTTTAAGTAAGACATTCTTTGCATTGTTTCAATTTAAATCAAAGATGAAAAGCTGCTTAATAAACCAATAGCTTAGTTTAAGCTATTGGTTTAAGTGACAAAGTGCAGCTTTGTTTAGCGTCTTTACCCCCTTGACCTTTGACCCCTACTCTTTTGCCCCTGGCACTTGGCCCTCCTCCCCCTCCTCTTGCGTCTTCTTTTCTTGGCCCTTTTTTTTGGTTTTTTTTTTTTTTTTGTTAATTTCCTCATTTGTAAAGTATTCTTTAACATTTTTATTACATTTTCTAGTTTTAAGTATTTGTTTTCCATAGTTTTTTATTATAAATTTTTTCTGCCATTTGAAACAATTATTATTTGTAAAAATTAAATTGCTTTGCAACTGCATGTTTTTGCTTTTTCCTTTTTATTAGTGTCATGCTGTCACTCTTAATGAATTATTCATCATAGTGCATTGTTAATGAATTATGTTGTCTTTTGTTTTGTGCAGTCATTTTTGTTTTTTATGGATAGTAAAGATTTCCTTCCTAAAAGAAATACCTCATACAATTCACAACCATGAATCAGAATCATTATTATTAAATATGTCTTTACCAAAACTGTTTTCTTGGCTCCTGAATTATTGTATTCTGCATTCTTTAAGTCTATGTTAGAATTCTTTTTACTTATGTAATAAATAAATGTATTCTAAATTGCATATTAGAATTTGATAAACTTTGTTTTTCATTTCACTTTAAACTAGTTGGCAAAGTATTTTTTTAATGTATTCCAACTGGCAGCACAAAAATATCCTCCTCTGTTTCTTTATTTTCTTAAGTTAATTTATTCAAATATATGAAGTACAGTAGAGTCCCAAAAACTCAGCACTCGATAACCTGGCAGTCCAGATAACTCGGTCATACCCTGGCAGGGCGAAAAAACCCCTAGTTAATTTTCATTATAGATAGCTTTATGCCTCATAAAGTATTTTTCTGAGATCTGTCTTATCAGGTAAATTACTGTACACCGTGTATTCATTAATTTTCATTTTCATGTAGTAAAGGCTCTTTGCCTTCATAAAGTATGTACTTTTCCTTTGTTTAAGGCTATTTGGGCAGTTTTTTCTCTGTTGTATTCTCAAGCAAACAATACATACAAGTACAGTACAGTATTTTCTGAGGAAACACTCATACTTATTCTTTTTTAACCCCATTTCCGATAATCCAGCATTTTCACAAACTCGGCCACCCTTCAGTCCACATTAGGCCACGTTTTTGGGACTCTACTGTATTATTATTTGTCTTTTTCTGTCAAACTTTGTTCGATAGAACATCTTTATACACTAAATTACAGATTTTTTTCAAAAATATTCATAATGCTTGTTTCAAAGTATTCAGTAATTCAGTAAGCAGAGTATTCAACAATCACTAATTAAATTCTAATTTGAATACATTTGAACTACACTCATGTACAAGAAAGTACATTGTCTTTAAGATGCATTATTCCACTTATTACAGTACATGTGTATTTCAAGAATGACAAATTTGTGTTATTACAATTGATTGGTTGTTTTCCATGTAATAGTTGACTCCATTTGCTAAAGTCCAATCAATAAAGTTGGAACAGATAACTTATAAAATCAAAAAATTATTTACACAACTGATTTGCTGGAAAATTGTTAATGATTTTTGATTTTAGATTACTCCAATTGTTGTTCAATAAAGATTAAAACAATGGGACTGATGGTATTTCTAAAATTTTTTGTAAATTTTAAAAATAAAAATTATTCTCAGATTAAAAGTATGAGTAAAACTACTCTTTTATAACTGATTTCGAGCGATTTATGCAAATGATTATCAAAAAAGATACTATACTTCAATCAAAACCAAAATCTTGTTGTTTATTAGATTACTCCATTTGTTTGGACAAAGTTTAAAACTTTTGAAATGCTAAAAAGTGTAATCTACTAGAAAAATATCTAATTTTTCTGTCTCATTTTGTTTTATCACTTTTTCTGTTCTGTGGGCATTAAGAGGGTCATTTTTCTAGGTCTGTTGTGATTTCAGCTATGTGCACAATGGAGGTGGTTGAAAGTGAGCAATGGGACCAAATGTTTCTGAGACAAACCACGCATAAAAAGTTTCTTGTATTTCCTGTTCAAATTTGATCTTGAGTCCTCCTTGGTGATTCCAACTTGGTCCAAGACACTAAAGGTGATGCCTTTAGTGTCTTGGCTATCTGTCCATCATTTAATTAATCATCAGTCTTCTTAAACTTTTTATGTTTTCAGATTATTTAATTTTGATTGGCTATTATTATCATAATGCTTTTTAGAGAGAGTCAGTCAATCAGTGTACAAACTTTTTATGAGAGAAGTAAAAAATTAGACCAAAAAAAAGTAAAGATGAAACTTTTATACAGATTTTCTTATTATTTTGTACTGATTATGTAATGAATTTTTTCATATACAGTAGACCCCCCTATAACGCTTAGATACGTTCCACGCTAATCGAATTTTACGTTGTAGGAATGATTAAATACATGAGCCAATCGCAGCCCGATAGGTGGGAACTTTACGAACTAAGGCTGTTCGAAAGGTTTTCTTCTATAAAATTAACCTATTCTAGACTAATTCCACTCAACATTTCCAAAACACGTATAATTTTTTGGGAATAATCCGTATAAACTATGCTATAAACAAAAAATTATAGGATTACTTACCGAGTGTGTACCGTTCGACTACGCCGTTGCTTAAAGCTGGTTTTCATCGCGGAACAGCACATGAAACGGCGGCCGCGATTTCTAATAACGAATTTTTCGCATAAAAATAACTTGACCTTTGGAGACATCATTAATATAAATAATTTTTATGGCCGTTGAATAAGAAGTGTTTCTTTCACAAGAAATGTATAAAATTAGTGCTGTATTAGACTTACGGTACCTAATTTACATACTGTACAGACGATAATAAACTCAACTTACTAGCCTAAAATCTCCGTAGCGTGTTGCCAGGCGGCAGAAAGCATATATATAATTATAATAAAGTTACAATAAATTAAGTTAATATATAATTATATATACAGTACCTAATTTATATATAATTAATATATAATTATATGTACAGTACCTAATTTATATATAATTTATATATAATACTAAACAGACGATAGCAAACTCAATTTAGCCGCTCCGTAGCGTGGCGCAGGGTCGGAGGAAAGTAGTTCGGCTGCTCATCCACTATTGGTCCAGACTCTATCAATCTTGTCGCGAAACGACGTTATAGGAGGTACGTTATACGAAAGTTGCTACAATTTTTTCGCTACGTTATAGGAATTGTCGTTATAGGAACGCACGTTATAGGGGGGGTCGACTGTACTTAAAATTATTAATTTCACTAACAGTAGCTTTTATTAATTTTAACTTTATTTTGCTTAATTTCAAACTGTTGTCAGTTATTGAAATATTGGAATTACTAAATACTTGAAAATAATTTAAATACACAAAAATTTATGTTGATTTTTTTAAAACACATATTGCTTAGAGCCACCATTTTAATCTCATACAATGCAAATGGTATGTAAATTATGAGCACTTGTTAATTGATCAATAGTGAATTAAGACAATCCTATTGTAATGCCACTTTCATACTAACATTTTTCAAAATTATGAGAAAGTTTACTGTTATTTTTGACTTGGTCAATAGCAAGTTTAAATGATTTTTCTTTTTTATTTTATTCTTATGATATCTAATTACTTAATTTGGGATTGTCTAGAAATTATGTAATGCTACTTTTATACTTTTTCAACTATGAACTCCCCTGTAGCATTCCATAATACTGTCACATACTCATTTCCAAAATTACATGATACATATCTTCAATCAACCTTCTTAATTGTATTAAAGAGTAATACACAGCAAGGGGATACAGAACATTACATTACCGTAAAACCTCAATTTAACAGATAAAATTTCAATATATCATATGTGTACTTTAAAATTAATATTCTGTTAATTTTAAAATGCTTTTTTTATGTAATTAAATTTGCAGGTTTTTCTCAAATACAAGAGTCCCCATTCATAAAGTGTATTTTTCAAAAAATGATTTTGCTTGTTTGTTTGTTTGTTTCAATTTAGATTGTATACCTGTTTATTAGAGTCAGAACTATGGTGAGTACATAAGAAATAGTACATATGGAAAAATTTTCTGAGAAACTGAGAAAATTGAACTTCTATACATACATAATTTTAATTACACAAACATATCTACATAAGTAAAAACAGATAAACTAATTAATTTTTTAACTTTTTAACAACATTTGGAAAATCTGCTTTATTATACAGGGTGTATCAGAATGACGTTTTAAAAATTTGGGGATTGTAGAGGATGAAATTTTGAACGTTTTGATATAAGGAACCTATAGCCGGAAATTTGAACTAAAGTGTCTTAGACAGCAAAAGTTACAGCCAAATCTGAGAAGCTGCTACCATTTGGCAAAAACACTACTGGTAGCTTATATCTTACATATTTAATAAATAACCAGTCAATTTAACCCTTTTTACTATGACATGGTTGGTTGTACTTTATCCTTCAAAACAATGATCCAAACTGCAGTCACTCAAGGTCACTCTACATATTTTACTTAAAAATTCATCAAAAATGGAATTTTTATCATAGAGATACAAAAAAATTGCATATATTTATTACTTAATTTAGTTTTTGGCACAATAGTGTAGAATTGTTCAAAGTAAAAATTACTTACAAAAAAAAAATGTTAAATTATGATCTAAATCTTTGATGTTATAAATTACTTTACCTTTGACACCAAATAAAATTCTCCTATTTCGTTATTTGTTTCTGGCACCAAGCCAGTACAAAAGGGAATATTGTTTTGTACATGATGATATAAGATTTATGCATATTTATCTATTTATCATGAACAATATCACTTTATATGAAACAGTCCATATTTACTAGTTTACTGTCTTTCTTCAATAAACTCTCTGAGGTTAGTAGGACATTTCATTTTAGGCAGTAGGCAACTTTAGGCAATAAACAGAAAATACCAAAACTATAGAACAATAAAACACATTACACAAAGAAAATTGACTAGTGAACATGTGTTTAATTTGATAAAATAAGTAAATAAAATAGAACAAAAGTATATGTATATATATATATAACTTATAGGCAATAAGTAGTAAATACCAAAATTGTAAAACAATAAAATGACTACAGAAAAAAATTGACTGGTGCACATGCTTCCTTTGTTTCAAAAATAAATAGTAAAATTAAAATGATGAAGAAAAGTTTTGATTAAGATTAAACATTTTTCAAAATAATGAAATATCGTCATTTCATATCTTTCAGCTGAAATGGAACTGATGATGTATCATCATAAAAAGGTTAAAGAACTTAGCATTACATAATGTTTTTGTAAACTCCCCACCCCTTATAATACATTGTAACAATATATCCACCCACCTATATCTGTATTATGTAATTTATGGACAGCTCCCTATGTCTCCCCAAAGAAACATAAAGGAATAATTCCCAATAATGAAACATCAAAGAATATGATTATTGGATCAAGCAGATAAATAAAATGTAAAATATTCACCAGATAACAATTTTTAAAAATTAAATAAATTAAAAGACAAAGTCTGTCAAAAACAGTCATCTTTTTAATTCACTTTCATATTTTGGAATACACTGTGATGACCTTGATTTTTCTTTTCAGGCTATTTGATTATCTTAACAAGTGTTAAAAAAAATTTCCTTAGAAAATGAATATATGTATACATTCATTTAAAAGTTAAAATCACCTTTCAAAACTAGAACTGAAACAAAACAAAACTATTTTTTAATTCCAGTTTTGGAAAGTGTTTTTAACTTTTTAAATAGATATAGTTAGTTATACATATATTCATACTTTAAAGGAATTTTTTAAGCATGTGTTAAGACAAGTTTAAGTAGCCTAAAAAAGAAAGGTTAGATTCTTCATAGTATATTTCAGAATACGAAACTGAATTAAAAAGTGACTGTTTTTGATAGATTCCATATTTTAATTTAATTTTTGAAATAAAAAATAATAATTTATTTTTTATTTGTCAAGATAGATAGTCTAACATCATTTTTGAAGTTTTTTTCATTTTCTCTGGAATTTCTCATATTATTTATTCTACTTTGTTGTGATATTTTTAACCAAATGTCATTCCTCACTAAAAATGTCTTCATTTATTATATTTTATTTTTATCAAAAATAAATGCATATTCATAATTGTTTTTATATTTCTTCATTATTTTATACAAATTGATTTAATAAAATGGCAATGTTAAGAACAGTTAAAAACAAATAAATAAATAGTAAATGTTCTTAGAGTCTGAACTAATGCAACTTAAGTAGAGAGAATTTTTATTGAAAATGACATTGAGTAATATTTTTGTATTTTAATCAACATTGTTTTGAATTCTTAAATCATTTAAATTTAAGCATAATTTAAAGTTTGATAATCTTTATATATTTAGTGAATAATAATGCATGAATCAGAAAAATGCATTTTTTAGAAGCAACACTGCTATAAAAAAAGAATAAATAGTACGAGTACTTTTTAGAAATGTTTAGGTACCAGCTATCCCATTGAAAATTCATAAATTTAAAATGTAAAGATTAAGATAAATAAGATTTTAGTTGCTAAATTACATATTCATTGTTGTGAATATCCATTTGTTGTATTTTGTAACATTTTTTATTTAATGTAATAATTTTAAAAAATGTAAAAAAAATAAAAAATACAGGTTTTAAAAACTAATATTTTTAAATTAAAATGAATAATATATTTTTAAAAAATAAGAATTATGGATTAATCTTTAAGTTAATATTAATATTAAGTAAGCAAATATTGCAAAAACATTTATGGAATTAAATTAATTCTTTACATATGATACACCCTGTATTTTATTAAATACAGCATGTATTATAATAGAGTAATAACTCAAAGATTTATTATTACTATGTTCAAACTATTTGAAATACAACTGTGAGATTTGTTGTATAACATGAATGTTTAAAACTTTTCAATGTGGCTTCTGCCAGTCATGAAACACATCCCATTGAAATTCTAGTTCTTGCTGTGCTTTTCTGAAGAACTCCTCATATACAGAAACAAGGTTGTTTCTTTATTCTTTTTTATAGCTGTTGCACATTTGCAGCATATGTTGCACAGACATTGTACCACATGATTTTTTTTATGTTTTAAATTCTTTTTTTTATATACATATAACACTCTATAGCAAATCTTCACATAATGTTGTTGCATTTAACATCATTTCATTATACATTGTTGAGGAAAGATACATTTGTAATCATTTACAATTATTCTTGTTGAATTTTCTTTATAAACAGTAAAATTATTTTTATGAGGTGAGAAATAAATGCTGGAGGTTGCAAACATGGTCCAGTTAGAATAATAATAACTGAAAATATCTTGTTTTTATCATTTAGCCTTTAGTAAAATTGGTCTCATTATATGTCATTTTACTTAATGTTACAGTTTCCAAGAAACTACAATGTTAAGTGAGGACTTTCTGTATTTATAACTGTCACTTGAATAGAATATTTATATGGATATTTTTTCATATTTATGTTTATTATTTTTTAAGTCATAACTTCAGATATACTGTTGTCTGTCCATTCGTCTCGTCTACTTTGTCATTGTGTTTGTTTGTTTTTCGCACTGTCTGTCTAGCTGTTAAATAGTATTAAGATTCGTGCTCACATTCAGTTTCATTAATATTAAGTAATTATAAGTCTTCCTACTAACAGTCACTTGGCACTAATTTCTACACTTAGCTATTTGTGGCGGAACTGAATCATTGATGTTCGCTACACTCAGGTTTTCTTTTAGACTCTTCGGGGACTACGCCTTTCAGCCTAAAAACTGCATGCCAACATCAAACATAGAGGGTACTGTAGCCATATGTACGCTGTTCAGAGTGATCCTGCCTTTCTCTACTATCTATCTCCTCTCCCTCCGTCTTTCCCTCCCCTTTCCCTTACCCTCTTTTCTGCTGGCTAAACACCTCATGTACAGCCAAAGTCTTTCATGCATGCATGCATGTATGTATGTATGTATGTATGTATACTGAGCATGAGATACTGTACATGTTCAATATATTTCATGCAATACATGAGATACATTAATGCTGTTGTTTATTATGCTTGTTTTTAATAATAGTGTAGGTTTTGAAGAACATAATTCTATCAAACAGAAATTTAAAGTAGTTAAGTTTAATTCAAAGTACATATGATAAATTTATAAAATATTCATTAATAAAAATTTTAATATTTTATTTTCTTATTAAATTAAAAACTAATAGCAATATTTTTTTTCAGTTACATTAATAGGTGGTATTGTGTTCCTAATATTTGCTGTTTCTGCATTATTAATGGGACCTGGATCTTGATTTGTAGAAGATTAAATAGAAAGTAAACCTAGTTATGAAATTACATTAGAAGAATGGCGACAATAATAATAAAAAGGAGGATTCATTATATTGAAGAACAGTCTTCAGAATCTTGTTTGTTTCAAAATATGATGATCTGTAAAAGTATTTATTTTGTTTTATAAAATTTATTCTCTTTTAAAAATGACAAATATTTTTAGATGTTAACTTGAATAAATATATTAATTCAGTTAACTAAATTTTAAATTCATTTAAAATCTTCTGTTGTTAATCAAATATATTTACTTATTTTAAAATTAAGAACATGTATGCTTTTATAAGATGTTAATCCTTTGACATATTTTATTCAGACTTTCCTTAAAAATTTCATTTTAGTTTTCATATTATTTTTGTTGTTATTTTGTAATTTCATAGCCAAATTTGTTTTAATAGGTTAAACTTTTTTGCTACCTTTTAACATTTCTCATAATATTTTCATTTATTTCATGTTTATTTCTGTAAATGAAATATTAGAATTATTCGTCCAGAAATTTACAGTAGTATTTATTTTATACTTACTATCTTATTGAATGAAAAACAAATTCAAACAGACATGCATAAATGAAAAAGTGGCAAATTTTCATTAAATTTGTAAAAGTTTTTAAAATTAATATGCATAATCTATTTTTCCATTATTCCACTATATATATAATTTTGAAATTTCTTTTAAAGTATACAGATTTCAATTTATGATTTATCACTTTAAAATTTTTAAAGCCATATTTTTTGTTTTTGTAAGACACTATCATATTAACTTACCTTATGTTAAAATAAAATTTCTTTATCATATTTTAGTTTTCAAAAATTTTTATTAGTTTACTATAGAAATACTATGAAGTCTGGCTAAATGTTATAATTGAAATTTGTTCATTTTTATTATATAAAATGCTAATAGCAATAGAATAATTATATAACTAACTAAAATCAAAATTATAAATCATGATATAAAACATGTCATATATATATATATTATTTGACTACTTTTAAAACAATCTAAATGAACAAAATAATTTTTTCTTCCTCAAAATGTAAGTAGATTAATTTAATTTATATTATGATTTTGTACATTTTGTAAAATAGTTTTCAAGAGATCAGAAATTTAATTTAACAAAGAAGGAAATTTGGTGGTAACAGGAACATCCAGAAGAAAATTAGCCTATAAAACAACAATGGAAAATAAAAGACACGTTACATAATGACTATTCATCCTCTGGTCTAATTATAATAAAAGTTCTTAAAATCAAACAGATGTCTAAAATAAATAAAAAATTATATGACACCAAGAAAATAACAGATATAGAATATTGCTAAAATAATTTAAACAATAATTTTAAAACAAATTAAATCTTAAGAAAAAACAGGGCTAAACTTCTTATTTATGCAAATACAGTAGAGCATCGATTATCTGACTCAATTGGGGACTCAGGTTGGTCAGATAACTGAAAAAATCGGATAACCGAAAAGAAGGAAAAAAATTATTAGTATAGTACATTAGGATATTAGTATATCCCATGTAATTAGTTTATTAGTATATCCCTATTAACCAACTTTGTGTTGAATTTTCATCAATATTTAGCCTAACAAATATTTTTTTAAAATAATAATCGTCGCTACTGTATCGTTAAAAATTATTTTTAAATTATTTTATTGCTCATGAAACAAACAACCACTCATAATTAGAAAATTAAGTCTCGTTTAAATACTGGCCTCCCTTCAATGGTCAAACCGTTGATGCCAGCTAAAACACACAAAAATTTAACAAAAATAATATTAAAGTAGCCAAGACATAGCCAAATATTGTAATGCCACATCATTAGCGGACATTTGAGATTTGCCGACTAGATCGGTCGATTAACCGATGTGACGGTTAATCGAGGGTTGGATAATCGATGCTCTACTGTATAAAATAGAAACAAATAAAATTAAGTATTTTCACTTAATATGGTTATTTCTACAATGATTCAAAAATCAAAACTTAAGAAACATTAAGAAAAGCAGGGATCTTAACTCATGACATTGGATATGAGTAAAATAAAATAATTTTATATTCTATATTTTATTTAATATATTATTAAATGCACTATAATTTTACATATTGAAATTTTTGGAAATAGTTTCAAAATGATCCCTCTAATGACTAATGTTGAACAAGAAAATAATTTTAAAGTATTTGTTTTTCTTTCAATTGTTATTCTTATTCATTAGAAACTAAAGTTATAAACATTTCATTTTTAAATATTTTTTGCTAGAAAAATATAGATTGCAGTATAAAATATGATAAATTATATTTTAATTTACATTATGTAAACTTTAAAGAAATATACTAGAATTTGCTATATTGCAATTTACAAAAATAGTTTCAAAATAAATTCATATGATATCTATTTCATAAAAATATTCAAGTTAAATAAAAAAACTTGTATGGCATGTTTAAATTGTGTGATAATTTTAATGTGAGTAATTCAAAATAAATGTTTATTGAGATTATATTTTAATTAGTCAAAGTAGAATGCCGATTCTTTATTATTATTTTTTTAATTGTAATTTCAAAAATTAACAATCAAAAATTGAAAAAAATTGCAAAAGAGTAAATGGAATGTTGTTGTATCTGTTTCACCAATGTATTTTTTTTTTGTTTTTTTTTTAACAATTTTTAAATACTTAATTCAATCACATTCAATTTAATATCGGGTTTGGGTTGTGTATATTTGTAAACAAATATTGATGATATAAAACAAAGATTTGGCAACTTAAATTCATATTAAAAAAATAAAATATTATAAAAATGCAGTATTTTATCTTTAAAAGAAAGGGAAGTGCTTACAAAAATAATTATTTTGATATTATTATAGATAACAGATTTGTATACTTGATCAATTCTTTTCAGTGTTTCTCAACCTCTAACGAATCGTCGCCCCCTTCAATAAAACCGTTACGTAGTATCACCCCCTTCACTTCAAAATTCCAATGCCGTGGGCCAGGGCTAACGCCAAATTTGTACTGCATTGAATAGACTAGTGACTAGTATAATGTTATTGTTTAATTATTGTACGATATAACAAATAAAATATTTAATTAATCTTAATATAATGTTTTACTATATTGCCCAGAAAATTGTTTTTCGCCCCCAAAATATAAATTGTTACAAATTGCCCCCTAAGCATGGAAAAATGCCCACATGGGGCGGTATCGCCCCCATGAGAAACACTGTTTTAAACAAATAATCATTCAAGAAAAAATATGTTTCTGATCTTAAAGTGAAATGATTTCTTTTTTTGAATATAACAATTTTCCAAATGTTGACAAAGATAGTAACATTTAATATTTGTTATATTGGAACGATATTTATAATTAATTTTTAAGATAGATATATTCTAATAAATAGAAAAAATTTTTATATGAAGATTTAAAATATTAAATGAACTTTATATTTATAAAAATATTTGAATAATTTTTATTTTTAAAAGAATAAGAATTATATCATTTTCATTTATGTGAAAATTTATTATATATATAAGCTATATTGAAAATATTTTGATGACTTGTTAGATGATTATTTAAATAGTCAGATAACTTGATAATACATTTATTCACAATGTTTGTTTGGTACAAATATTGAAAAATTTTTACAAATAATTTTTACTTCTGTAATCTAAGAATTATGATAAAATTTATTTTTTTAAAATATTTACAATAATACGATATATGCTCATATTAATTTATAAGAATGTGTTTGATTATAGACAGTTAGACAGTATTTTACTCATTTTTATAATTCAAAGGATTAACAAATTATAGAAGTATCAATATATAAATTTATTTTTCTTAAATTTATATATATATCTATTTATATATTTCAAATTGTCATCAAAATTTTATCTAAATTACTGAAATTTATGTATAAAGTTAGTTTCAAATCATTAGTTCCAATGAAAAATAATTAATCTATAAAAAATGTATTTGGTACTTTTAATATATATAATATAGGATAAAAGTTGAAATAATTTCTTTGAGATGATATCAAAAATTTCACACTTCTTGTTACAGATGAAAATATTTGATCATTAGAAAACTTTATTTTAATTTTTTTTAATGATGATTTTGTTTAAAAATTTTTTGACTAATTTAAAAATAATTCGCTTGAGATTATTTTAAATTTATATAATAATTAAATCTAGAAAAATGTTCTGAATATTGTAACAGATATTATTGGGAATGACTGGTTTTATAATTTAAAAGGCATTGTATTGCAAGTTTAGAACAGTTATTTTATTCTAAAAAGCTAAATTATTGGCTTTCAAATGTTGAGTAAATAAAATTGATGGTATTGATAGAAATTTGTGATTTTTCTTTATTATTCAATATATTTTGTTAAGCCTTTCAAACCAGTCTTCCACTGATTTGTAAATAATAATTTTATAAAGATTTGAAAAATCATAAATGAGAATTCGTCAAAGTTTGCATTATTAATGCAAATCAGTATTAAAACATGTTCAGTGCCATTTTAAATAGTGGATTTTATCATCCACAAAATCTGCTGTCATTTTAAAATTAAAAAGAAATGAAAATACTAGTCTTAAATATTTCTCTTTGCATATAAGTTTGAACATATTTACTTTATGTTTTTGTCTAACAGAAGACAATAATGGCTTAAGATCTATATAAAATGCAATATATTGTCAAGTTGGTTAAATTTGGTTTTTATTTCTGACAGTAATTTAACATTTATATATAAGCATTCCAAAGATATTCTATCTTTATATGTTTTTTCTTTGTACGTAATGTCACAATTTATTTAAATTTCTACCCATGTGAACTGTTACGTTTTTATGTAGTTCTTAAAAATATAATGGGTAAACAAAATTTATTTTTAAGGAGACAGGTAAAAAGCATTACTATACTATACTAAAACATTACTATAGAAAATTTGTTATCGAAAATGCAGAAATAAAAATAACTGTACATTTCATAAGTCTCTTTATTCACGTTGTCTGAAATTTATTTTTTAAGAAGGGGTTTTTTTTTAATATTTAAGATTTAATAAATGGTTTTAATTTTAGTCCGAAAGATGGCACTACTTGACTTAACACCTTTATTTTTTAAATAACTTCTATCATATTTATAAATAATACATTATATATACTTATTGAATTATAACGTGAAATCAATTTAAAGTTTCCAGTTCCAGTTGAAAATATTAAAATTATTACAAGATATATAATTTTTATCGACGGATTAATACCGCATTGGCTTTTATTGTAGTATAAATCATGCAATAATATGATCGGGTATAACTTCGGGATTCATCCAAGTGTAAGCATATTTTCGATATTCGTTACGTTTCTTGAATGAATTTATTAAATAAGAAAGCTCTTCCAGAAATCTGAAAGTGACAACAAATACATTTAATATTGTTAACATTTTTTTAAACTGTTTATAAAATTTTTAATTAACCTGAGTCTATATTTAAAAGATAACAGTTATTTTATATGATGCTATTATGAATGTATAACATATACAAATTAGAATATCTAAATAAAGTCAAACTTTGTTTCACCTCTGAAATTGACACTCAATCGAGTGTGGCATTAAACTTGAAGTACCTCAAACAATTGGAATTGTAAGAAGTAATGAGGTTTGAAACCTCACGTAATCTGGTGATACAGTTTTGCATTGCAAACATTATTATGTTTAATTCATAGATACTTATTAGTATCTATCTATGGGGAAGACCAGTTCACAAGTACTCATTGGCGTTATATCGAGATTTGAGTATATTATTTAAATATGCATCCCGTTACTAGTAGAGTTTCATTGAATATTTTATGCTCATTATACTTGCGATTAATACATAAAATTATCGTAGATTAATATAAATGTATCTAATCATAAAGTAAAATTTTTGCACATTTAAAATACTTCAATTTCTGTATTTAAAAAAACAACTTTAGGTTATGAATTTAACATTGATAAAAAAAATCAAAAAGTTATAAAAAGAAATTCAAAAAAATAAAAATGCATTTAATCGGTGTTGAACCGGAACACGAGGTAAACCACAACTAATAATGTGAACTTTCCGTTAATATCATCTAGCCATAAAGTTGTGCGAGAAATTCCTGTTCGTTCTTATACCTTTAGAGTAGCGAGAATGAATAATAAAATTTCGGCATATGACGTGCTTGGTCACATGCCATAGATCGCGGCGAAACTATTTGGTAGGATAGGAAGTTTTGTATAGAAATGTTGGCCCGCGATAAGTCAACATTTTTTCAATACTTCCAGCATTCTAGATAAACTGCACATCATGATTTATACGATTTCTATATCGCCGATAGAGTGAATTAAAGTTTTGTAGAGAATATTTGAAGGAAAAAAAACTTAATTCTTCGATTATTTTTTGCTTTTTGATTGGTAAAGTACGTTACTCTTATAGGAAATGTTAAATGGGATAATGCAAATATATTTTCTAAAATATGACGTGCAAACATTGGGAGATGATGATTGAAAATCTTGCTGATTCGGCTCGTTAACGTAATATTCGTACTCGTCTTATCAAAACATATTTTACTTACTCTTTATGTGCGGAAATATCATTTTCTTGCAAGAGGTAAACACTTTTCGAGTATCCTAAGCGACTTTTGTTATCTCCACTTAAAATTTTCACAACATTAATAATTTCCTTAATGGTGCAAACATTCGGAAGTTGTTCGACGATTTCACTTTCCGATAAAGCACTCTAAAAATTGAATACTAAACTTAGAAGAAATTTTTATTTATCACAAACGCAAACATAATGTAACTTTTAACTTAAACTTTAACCAGAATTTCGGTTTTTTTTTTCTATAATTTAAGTCGAATTAAAGTATATTTTACCTTGCTTCTAGGTATAGGACCCGTCAATAGTAAAGGATAATTTGGTACAAAAGCACATTCCTCGAATTGAGGTATGTCAACAGCTGCGTGAAATATGGTACAGTTAGCGATAATACTCGTAATAGTGTCGGTGATTTGGAGTCTGCTACCGAAACCATTTTCAGTTCCGGGTACTCCCTGTTAAATTAAATTTGTTTTTATATAGGCCTAAACGCCCTTTTTCAAATAAAATAGTATGTAGTATTAAAAATTATACTTGTAGTTGACATCCTCCGTCTTTCTTTTCTCGCACGAGTTCCTTCCTCCAGTTCTGTAATTCTATATCTTGCGATATTTTCTCTGGATAATCTGTAGATAAATTTAAAATTTGAGGACTTTTTTTCTATTGTAGTGATTATCTGTATGTCCTAGATCATCGGTTATTTATAAATTAGATTTTCGAATGTTTAGATGTAGAAATTAAAGCCATGCTTTACTTATAGACTACATATTAGAGTTATGTATGTACAGCCAAACCTATGAACAACGCCCACTGCACTGACGAGAGCATAAAAATGGCCGTTTTGGGAGGTTATTTTATATGCATTTCAAAAAGAAATGACCGCCGTTTAGAAGTGGCCGTTAGTGGAGGTTCGACTGTGTATGTGTGTATATAGGCCCTATGTATATTTCTGATAAAATTTTTAAAAATTTAGACTATATTAATTTTTATTAATATAATACAGATTTATAGGCATATAATTAATTAGAAAATATGGTTTACCATAATGATTTTTAACTATTTTTCCAACATAATCGAAAATGCTATCATATAAAGCCGTGGCATCGTCACGATACGGATAATAAGGAAGCACACCAGGATCATTAACCTGAAAAATAATAATATATATATGTATTAGTTCTTTATAATAAAAGTGGAGATAATAATTATGAACGCGTTCTTCGAGATCGTTATTATTGATTTTTTAACAAAACAAAAAATTCCAATTGACTTACGCCCCTCGATTCGATTTCCTTTGGTATGTTTATCTCCTCGAATTTCCAATTGAAAAATCTACATAGGAAACATGATATTTTCATTAAAAATATATTTTAAAAATGCAAAGATGAAGATAATATTAAAATAATATGTATATTATATTTATTGCTGCAAAACTTTATTAAAGGTCGAAATTAAAGTGAGCTCTGTAAAGAGAAGTGGGTTTTTTGTATGCGTATTGAAAAACGTTCTTAGAATATTTCTATTTTTGATTAAAATAAGAAAAAAGAAAGGATAAAAGGAAATACGATCCGTGTATTTCATTACATTTATATAACCCGGTTTTTTTATATAGTGTAATAAAATTTTCCTTTTTTAATTTGCATTTATATTTTTATTTCGATTTAAGTGTTATAAATATTTAGTGTTTGTTGTAGGAAACTTAAATCTTTATAGGATTTTGAGATAGTCGAAAGATATATACATATATATATATTTTTAATTTAATCACCTTCGTGCTATTAAGTGGGAGAGGCCACGTACTCCAATAGTTGTCACTCTATCTATCCATCCTCCCATTACTAGAAGTTTTTCCAGCATTAATCTGAAACAAAGAAAGAAAATGCTTAATTATAAAAATTAAACTCGATGATGAATTTTTATTATTAATTTTATTGTAAACTTTTAAAATGTTCCTCCAATAATGGCACCTCCTAACAACGACCATCTCTTAAACAGTATGAAAAATAACCTTCAAACAACGACCATTGTTCGAAGGTTTAATTATATATTCATTTTTGTTCATAAGTTTTGTTGTTATTAATACTATTTATGGAGAATTCATTCCTAATATCAAATTATTATTAATATGTTAATTAAAAAATTAATAAATAATGTTTTAATTTAATAAAGTTATAATATATTACAATTCACGCAGAACGCATCGGTAATGAAATGTTGGAAATTATGAAGCTTACTTATTAATAGACAAAAGGTATTTAAAATGCGGTGCCATCAACTTGAAAAGGGGGTGGGAAGGTGAAAGGTTGCGATTAATAGAAATCCATAAAGATTCCATCAGAAGATGGGTCCTACCTGAAAAAATAATTATAAAGATCATCGATAAAGTAGCGTTAATAACGAGAAAATGATTCTTACCTATACTGAGACAAGCTCTATGATAGAGAGCATCGGCATTGTTGAAGTACATCTTGGCCAAAAGCCAGGTATAAGGCGGGTCGGAGGGAAAGAAAACCTGTAATGGTTCAATTTAAGTCACCCCAATTAAACCGAACCATCTTATCTTCCAACAATTTTCATTACACCCCGTCATTTAAGTAAATTACAAGTGTTGTAATCATATCAGAATAGTTGTTGTCAAACTATTTGCTAAAGAGCTTCAAACTGGATCAAGACATCCACAATAATTATTATTCTCTAGTCGAATGTAGGAAGATCTTTACCGCAACACCTGTTGCTCGTCTTTTACAATATTTAAGAATAAAGCACGATTTAAAGATGGTGGAGATGAGCCTCGCGTGACGCAAGTATTTACGAGAACCGGAAATCTATTAAAACTGATAGAGTGTTTACAGTTTTAAATGTATTTCGCTTATAAATAATTTAAAATATGCATTTTGAATACTTTACATTAAATTATAATTGAATGAGAGTTTCTAAATTTATTCGTAGGAAGCATTAAATGTTAAATGAAGATTATTATTAAATGGAATTAAGCTGGTTAAAAGATTAATTAATAAATTTTCGCGTTAAAGACTTTTATGTTAATATTACAAGTTTTGTGCATTAGATATACATTTTTCACAAGTTTTAAAATATATAAACTTATTGCTGATATTTTACGAAAATATCCGTGCATTAAGAATGAATGGGTCCATTTGAATAAAGCATTTTACGGAGAAAATACGTTCGGCTTACTTTATTGGCTTTAAATTTTCTATTTTAAATGTTTTTCTCGCCATTCCAGCGCATCTATAATTAAGTTATGCATTTCGAAAAACGAAATAGAAAATTATATTACTATTTTATCGTAGGATAAAGTCTAAATTTTCTTGACACGCGAAAGTGTAATACGATTTTGAAAACTCAATAATACGTTAATTGGGTTCCTCGAAATACTAAAACTACATTTTCTGTCAACATCTGCTTTATAACTATACACAATTTATAGTTATTAATTAAAATAAGTTAAGAGTTGATCTGTCGTTAATTATTTACCAATCAGATTTCCTGTAAAAATATCACAGTTAAAGTAATTAGTAAAGTTCGAAGTAAGGAGGAGAAAATCCCTAAGAGGGTTGTATCGATGATATGACGTAAATTTAAAAACAAAAGTATTGTACGATTGTCAAATAGTTGAAAAGTTTTGATGGCAATACAATTGTCTTTAAGACTTAATTCGAGTGCGGCTCCACCTCAATTAACCCATTTGGATTATATATAATTCCTTAATATAATATATCTAAACCCCAGACAAGTTAGTCCTTTAAACTGACAGAAATACTCCACCCCGAGGGAGAACAGAGTAAGGTTGGTAAGACGCAGAGTAATCCCTTTCAATCATCATCTATGTTATACAACGGCAGTTTAACCTTTTTTAAATAGTTGGATTAATCGAAGTATTAAAGTAAAACTTACGGGATTGTCTACGGTTCTATCTTGAAATAACTGTATAGCTATGGGCCGAATTTCACCGTCGTGATTCAGATAAAACAGAGCAATGGGCGCGCAAACCTGTAAATAAATAATTAAAACCGAAACGTAAATACTAAGAACGAGTGCGATTATTCGTTTAAGCTATGCGATTACCAATTTGTCATCTTTGCAGGGTAAGTTTTTCATGATTTTATAATCGATTATGAAAATTCTTTTATTTTCTAATGCCTCCCGAAGACTTAAATCTTCCAAAAATGGCTCCAGTTCTTTGTCATCTGCTGCGAAGCTGGAATCGAAACAATTTATCTCAGGTGTAATCAAAATTCAAAATTTGTAAAATCGTATATTAAAAAGGACATTATTATCATTAATTTTGTTTAAAACGTGTTGTGCCTACTTAAAATAATTTGTTTTTAAGTNACTAAAATCAAAATTATAAATCATGATATAAAACATGTCATATATATATATATTATTTGACTACTTTTAAAACAATCTAAATGAACAAAATAATTTTTTCTTCCTCAAAATGTAAGTAGATTAATTTAATTTATATTATGATTTTGTACATTTTGTAAAATAGTTTTCAAGAGATCAGAAATTTAATTTAACAAAGAAGGAAATTTGGTGGTAACAGGAACATCCAGAAGAAAATTAGCCTATAAAACAACAATGGAAAATAAAAGACACGTTACATAATGACTATTCATCCTCTGGTCTAATTATAATAAAAGTTCTTAAAATCAAACAGATGTCTAAAATAAATAAAAAATTATATGACACCAAGAAAATAACAGATATAGAATATTGCTAAAATAATTTAAACAATAATTTTAAAACAAATTAAATCTTAAGAAAAAACAGGGCTAAACTTCTTATTTATGCAAATACAGTAGAGCATCGATTATCTGACTCAATTGGGGACTCAGGTTGGTCAGATAACTGAAAAAATCGGATAACCGAAAAGAAGGAAAAAAATTATTAGTATAGTACATTAGGATATTAGTATATCCCATGTAATTAGTTTATTAGTATATCCCTATTAACCAACTTTGTGTTGAATTTTCATCAATATTTAGCCTAACAAATATTTTTTTAAAATAATAATCGTCGCTACTGTATCGTTAAAAATTATTTTTAAATTATTTTATTGCTCATGAAACAAACAACCACTCATAATTAGAAAATTAAGTCTCGTTTAAATACTGGCCTCCCTTCAATGGTCAAACCGTTGATGCCAGCTAAAACACACAAAAATTTAACAAAAATAATATTAAAGTAGCCAAGACATAGCCAAATATTGTAATGCCACATCATTAGCGGACATTTGAGATTTGCCGACTAGATCGGTCGATTAACCGATGTGACGGTTAATCGAGGGTTGGATAATCGATGCTCTACTGTATAAAATAGAAACAAATAAAATTAAGTATTTTCACTTAATATGGTTATTTCTACAATGATTCAAAAATCAAAACTTAAGAAACATTAAGAAAAGCAGGGATCTTAACTCATGACATTGGATATGAGTAAAATAAAATAATTTTATATTCTATATTTTATTTAATATATTATTAAATGCACTATAATTTTACATATTGAAATTTTTGGAAATAGTTTCAAAATGATCCCTCTAATGACTAATGTTGAACAAGAAAATAATTTTAAAGTATTTGTTTTTCTTTCAATTGTTATTCTTATTCATTAGAAACTAAAGTTATAAACATTTCATTTTTAAATATTTTTTGCTAGAAAAATATAGATTGCAGTATAAAATATGATAAATTATATTTTAATTTACATTATGTAAACTTTAAAGAAATATACTAGAATTTGCTATATTGCAATTTACAAAAATAGTTTCAAAATAAATTCATATGATATCTATTTCATAAAAATATTCAAGTTAAATAAAAAAACTTGTATGGCATGTTTAAATTGTGTGATAATTTTAATGTGAGTAATTCAAAATAAATGTTTATTGAGATTATATTTTAATTAGTCAAAGTAGAATGCCGATTCTTTATTATTATTTTTTTAATTGTAATTTCAAAAATTAACAATCAAAAATTGAAAAAAATTGCAAAAGAGTAAATGGAATGTTGTTGTATCTGTTTCACCAATGTATTTTTTTTTTGTTTTTTTTTTAACAATTTTTAAATACTTAATTCAATCACATTCAATTTAATATCGGGTTTGGGTTGTGTATATTTGTAAACAAATATTGATGATATAAAACAAAGATTTGGCAACTTAAATTCATATTAAAAAAATAAAATATTATAAAAATGCAGTATTTTATCTTTAAAAGAAAGGGAAGTGCTTACAAAAATAATTATTTTGATATTATTATAGATAACAGATTTGTATACTTGATCAATTCTTTTCAGTGTTTCTCAACCTCTAACGAATCGTCGCCCCCTTCAATAAAACCGTTACGTAGTATCACCCCCTTCACTTCAAAATTCCAATGCCGTGGGCCAGGGCTAACGCCAAATTTGTACTGCATTGAATAGACTAGTGACTAGTATAATGTTATTGTTTAATTATTGTACGATATAACAAATAAAATATTTAATTAATCTTAATATAATGTTTTACTATATTGCCCAGAAAATTGTTTTTCGCCCCCAAAATATAAATTGTTACAAATTTCCCCCTAAGCATGGAAAAATGCCCACATGGGGCGGTATCGCCCCCATGAGAAACACTGTTTTAAACAAATAATCATTCAAGAAAAAATATGTTTCTGATCTTAAAGTGAAATGATTTCTTTTTTTGAATATAACAATTTTCCAAATGTTGACAAAGATAGTAACATTTAATATTTGTTATATTGGAACGATATTTATAATTAATTTTTAAGATAGATATATTCTAATAAATAGAAAAAATTTTTATATGAAGATTTAAAATATTAAATGAACTTTATATTTATAAAAATATTTGAATAATTTTTATTTTTAAAAGAATAAGAATTATATCATTTTCATTTATGTGAAAATTTATTATATATATAAGCTATATTGAAAATATTTTGATGACTTGTTAGATGATTATTTAAATAGTCAGAAAACTTGATAATACATTTATTCACAATGTTTGTTTGGTACAAATATTGAAAAATTTTTACAAATAATTTTTACTTCTGTAATCTAAGAATTATGATAAAATTTATTTTTTTAAAATATTTACAATAATACGATATATGCTCATATTAATTTATAAGAATGTGTTTGATTATAGACAGTTAGACAGTATTTTACTCATTTTTATAATTCAAAGGATTAACAAATTATAGAAGTATCAATATATAAATTTATTTTTCTTAAATTTATATATATATCTATTTATATATTTCAAATTGTCATCAAAATTTTATCTAAATTACTGAAATTTATGTATAAAGTTAGTTTCAAATCATTAGTTCCAATGAAAAATAATTAATCTATAAAAAATGTATTTGGTACTTTTAATATATATAATATAGGATAAAAGTTGAAATAATTTCTTTGAGATGATATCAAAAATTTCACACTTCTTGTTACAGATGAAAATATTTGATCATTAGAAAACTTTATTTTAATTTTTTTTAATGATGATTTTGTTTAAAAATTTTTTGACTAATTTAAAAATAATTCGCTTGAGATTATTTTAAATTTATATAATAATTAAATCTAGAAAAATGTTCTGAATATTGTAACAGATATTATTGGGAATGACTGGTTTTATAATTTAAAAGGCATTGTATTGCAAGTTTAGAACAGTTATTTTATTCTAAAAAGCTAAATTATTGGCTTTCAAATGTTGAGTAAATAAAATTGATGGTATTGATAGAAATTTGTGATTTTTCTTTATTATTCAATATATTTTGTTAAGCCTTTCAAACCAGTCTTCCACTGATTTGTAAATAATAATTTTATAAAGATTTGAAAAATCATAAATGAGAATTCGTCAAAGTTTGCATTATTAATGCAAATCAGTATTAAAACATGTTCAGTGCCATTTTAAATAGTGGATTTTATCATCCACAAAATCTGCTGTCATTTTAAAATTAAAAAGAAATGAAAATACTAGTCTTAAATATTTCTCTTTGCATATAAGTTTGAACATATTTACTTTATGTTTTTGTCTAACAGAAGACAATAATGGCTTAAGATCTATATAAAATGCAATATATTGTCAAGTTGGTTAAATTTGGTTTTTATTTCTGACAGTAATTTAACATTTATATATAAGCATTCCAAAGATATTCTATCTTTATATGTTTTTTCTTTGTACGTAATGTCACAATTTATTTAAATTTCTACCCATGTGAACTGTTACGTTTTTATGTAGTTCTTAAAAATATAATGGGTAAACAAAATTTATTTTTAAGGAGACAGGTAAAAAGCATTACTATACTATACTAAAACATTACTATAGAAAATTTGTTATCGAAAATGCAGAAATAAAAATAACTGTACATTTCATAAGTCTCTTTATTCACGTTGTCTGAAATTTATTTTTTAAGAAGGGGTTTTTTTTTAATATTTAAGATTTAATAAATGGTTTTAATTTTAGTCCGAAAGATGGCACTACTTGACTTAACACCTTTATTTTTTAAATAACTTCTATCATATTTATAAATAATACATTATATATACTTATTGAATTATAACGTGAAATCAATTTAAAGTTTCCAGTTCCAGTTGAAAATATTAAAATTATTACAAGATATATAATTTTTATCGACGGATTAATACCGCATTGGCTTTTATTGTAGTATAAATCATGCAATAATATGATCGGGTATAACTTCGGGATTCATCCAAGTGTAAGCATATTTTCGATATTCGTTACGTTTCTTGAATGAATTTATTAAATAAGAAAGCTCTTCCAGAAATCTGAAAGTGACAACAAATACATTTAATATTGTTAACATTTTTTAAAACTGTTTATAAAATTTTTAATTAACCTGAGTCTATATTTAAAAGATAACAGTTATTTTATATGATGCTATTATGAATGTATAACATATACAAATTAGAATATCTAAATAAAGTCAAACTTTGTTTCACCTCTGAAATTGACACTCAATCGAGTGTGGCATTAAACTTGAAGTACCTCAAACAATTGGAATTGTAAGAAGTAATGAGGTTTGAAACCTCACGTAATCTGGTGATACAGTTTTGCATTGCAAACATTATTATGTTTAATTCATAGATACTTATTAGTATCTATCTATGGGGAAGACCAGTTCACAAGTACTCATTGGCGTTATATCGAGATTTGAGTATATTATTTAAATATGCATCCCGTTACTAGTAGAGTTTCATTGAATATTTTATGCTCATTATACTTGCGATTAATACATAAAATTATCGTAGATTAATATAAATGTATCTAATCATAAAGTAAAATTTTTGCACATTTAAAATACTTCAATTTCTGTATTTAAAAAAACAACTTTAGGTTATGAATTTAACATTGATAAAAAAAATCAAAAAGTTATAAAAAGAAATTCAAAAAAATAAAAATGCATTTAATCGGTGTTGAACCGGAACACGAGGTAAACCACAACTAATAATGTGAACTTTCCGTTAATATCATCTAGCCATAAAGTTGTGCGAGAAATTCCTGTTCGTTCTTATACCTTTAGAGTAGCGAGAATGAATAATAAAATTTCGGCATATGACGTGCTTGGTCACATGCCATAGATCGCGGCGAAACTATTTGGTAGGATAGGAAGTTTTGTATAGAAATGTTGGCCCGCGATAAGTCAACATTTTTTCAATACTTCCAGCATTCTAGATAAACTGCACATCATGATTTATACGATTTCTATATCGCCGATAGAGTGAATTAAAGTTTTGTAGAGAATATTTGAAGGAAAAAAAACTTAATTCTTCGATTATTTTTTGCTTTTTGATTGGTAAAGTACGTTACTCTTATAGGAAATGTTAAATGGGATAATGCAAATATATTTTCTAAAATATGACGTGCAAACATTGGGAGATGATGATTGAAAATCTTGCTGATTCGGCTCGTTAACGTAATATTCGTACTCGTCTTATCAAAACATATTTTACTTACTCTTTATGTGCGGAAATATCATTTTCTTGCAAGAGGTAAACACTTTTCGAGTATCCTAAGCGACTTTTGTTATCTCCACTTAAAATTTTCACAACATTAATAATTTCCTTAATGGTGCAAACATTCGGAAGTTGTTCGACGATTTCACTTTCCGATAAAGCACTCTAAAAATTGAATACTAAACTTAGAAGAAATTTTTATTTATCACAAACGCAAACATAATGTAACTTTTAACTTAAACTTTAACCAGAATTTCGGTTTTTTTTTTCTATAATTTAAGTCGAATTAAAGTATATTTTACCTTGCTTCTAGGTATAGGACCCGTCAATAGTAAAGGATAATTTGGTACAAAAGCGCATTCCTCGAATTGAGGTATGTCNGACATTTATTTAAAAAATAAATTTTAAGTTTGCCCATAAAAGTGAAAAATTACCGATGGTTCCATGTTGTTTTTTCTAAGAAAAGATTTAATTTGTTCGATTGTCTGCCATTTTCCTAATGTCATTTCCATCATGCTGTATAATTTTTCCTTTTTTAAATCAGGATCTAGTTCCCACTTAAAAAGTAAAAGAAAATAAGTTATAAAATTTAGAAATTTATATTTAGAAAATAATTTATTAGTAAATAGAATGATATGGTGTTGCCATGTTGTGCCGTTTTTTTACATTTGAATTTAAACGTGAACAGTTTTATTGGTTGATCTTACAAGAGAAGCGCCAAACGAATGTCACCGGAAATGCGTCATAACGCAGTCTAGACACCCTAAATTCAAACATACGCATCAGCATAGCAATAAGGGAATTTGCGAGAAAGAAAAATTGCCGGATAAATATGACTTTTATCGCCTACTCGCTAGCAATGTTTAATAATTGGAGAAAAATCAAATTTTGCGATATAGACTAGTCTATAACGCTGTGTAATCTATGCGTTAAGTAGTATAGCCGTGTTGTGCACTCACCTTGATGAGTCTGCAATAAAAAAGTGTAGTTTCAACCAACAGCCATTCAAAATGTAAATTTGGTAATCTATTTATATAAATTTAGGTTATTTACATTAATGTATACAGTACTTTATTTTATTTATTTATTTATTACTGTATCATATTTTCTTACTATGGCTTAAAAATGATTAAATATGCAATTTTTTAGGAGTTTTCTTCGGTTTCAAAATGATAAAATATTAAATCTGTAAATTGTTAGCTTCTACGATTACTAACAAAAACACCTCTAGCTATTTTAAAAAATTAAGTATTATCTATTTATTTTTATATATATTTTTAAGATAAGTAGCTTAAAGTCGTATATAGGCCTATATAAAGTAAATAAATGAAAAAGTTAAAGAAAAAGTAAAGATAAAAATGTTTACCTGGAAAAGGTATCTGAAATCTTCTTGTTCGGGTAATGTTTTAATCTGGAAGAAAATATCTTAAAAATTTGAGATCATAGAATTGGCAAGCGTAAATCTAATGGCATAAAGAAATATATCTTGGAAGAGTTTGCTTTTATCGAAAAAAGAATCTTTTTGTATCTTTGTCTAACAAAAACGGTGTTGTACCTCTACAGATGCTGGACAATTTATTTCTGAATCATGTTTTTCTTGACAGATGGATTGGGATACGTGGACCAATATCCCCTTCCACTAAATTCTTCTGTTCTCACGTCTGATATGTTTTTCTTGCTACACACATCAAATCTTCACTTTAGCAAACTAGAATCTGGCTTCTTTGATTTAAGATAAAATCGAACGAACGAACCTTCTGACTAATTCGATGGGATGTTTTGCCAAAGTTTTTGTTTATATTGTTTAGTTTATTGTATTAAGTCGGAGTTGCTCGTTTTGTGAAAGATTTTAAGCTAACTTAAGAGATTCGAGCGTATCTTGAAGCTTTGTTTAAGTTATACAATTAATTAAGGAAGTTTGAAATGATAAACATTTTCGTCACGAAATTTAGTAAACTGAATAATTAGCGTGCTTAATATTGCACGAACGCATTTCAAAACGCGACTGGCTTTATTAAACACGTACAAAGAGATGCTAGTTTATATTTAAAGTTGATCACGTGTTAAATTCAATTTTAAACAGGTGTTGGAAGTTTACAATGCAATACGGGAGTTTACTACAACGGATATAGCTGTTATATTATTTACCTGTAATGGTCCACCTTCTATATGTTCCGTGTATTCGTACAATTTCCTCTTGTCGTCGAGTTCTTCATTTCTCTGCGTTAATGACAGCTCGTATTGGGGAAGACAACAGTCGTATACTCGAAAGTAATATCTGTGCTGGGACGATATCCAACGGTGCAAAGGGAACCAGAACTTTTTCTCATTTTTCTTCCCCACCGTTAAATATTCCAAGTACAAAATGTCTTCCAATCCGTAAGAATTCCTCCAGATTTCTATTTTATCGACATTATCGAAATTGAGTGGACAAGATACCTGAAGGCTACAGATTTGGTTTTCGCTTTTAAATGATGCGTTTAACTTGATGGCGTCCGTTTTTAATCCCTGTTCGTCGTACAGAATTAACCATATAATTGTATCGCTTCCAACGTTTCTTCTATCTGCTGTCTTAATTTCAATTATATAATCGGATTTTAAATTGGATATCAAGTTTCCCATTTTAGTTATTCCTTTTTTTTTATTTCTTAATTTTTAATTTGGTCGGTGGTTTGATGATTTTTTTTTTCCTTCTCTAAGAATGAGCAATTTGTTTTGTGTACAGTTGTTTATAGTAATATTTTTCTGGTGATTTCATTCGATCGGAATGGCAATGCTCAGAATAATAAATTGATTTTTATTTCCTATTTAGAACATCTGTTATTCTCGCAGATATTGCCAACAATAATAAGAATTTCGTTAACAACATGAAAAATCAGTAAAATATTATTCTAATGAAATTAAATTTGATTAAAGCAAAATTTTTATCGATATATTTCGTAAAATTTATTAATGCACNTATGAATATGGTTCGTTTTTTTTTATTTTGGAAGAATTATGAAACCTCAGAGATGTATAATATATATATAATTCTTGCTTTTAGGATGTAGGAAAGTTTTATAAAATTGTAAAAGAAAGAATGAAAGTATGCTACAATTCAACCGAAATAGAAAAGAAAAAGAAAAAAATATTAAATTCCTATCAAGTAATATCAAATACAGTAATGCAAAAATACATATTTTAGATAAAAGGAAGTATTATAGAAACTTAGGAAATTAATTCACAGTTTAGCTAAGCTAGTAATTAAGAGAAAAATAAATTACAAAAAAGAAAAAAATATTAAAACAAAAGTAGTGTAGCAGTTTAATTTTATTAAGTCGCTACTGAAATTTTTGTAAGGTGGAATGAAAATTTCTTTTATTAAAAATTCCCCGGTCGGTTTCGGTGCCACATAAAAATTTTCCAATGTCTTAGCTCAGGCCAGAGTATCACGAAAAGAATGCTTTATTTGGTCAGTGCAATCTGGTTAATAGTTCTGACATTCCGCGAACGCCTGATGTCGAAATTGTCTCGATTCTCATTTCCGTTACTTTCTCTTACGATTACTGCATTCATAATTAATTTTTCTATTCGGGTTTACGGCTGCCTTTACCCATGCAAACGGCTTGGTAGAAGTAAGTTGCAGCGTGATTCGTGATTGGAACGGATAATTGTTAATTTGAGCTAAAATAGTTAAAAGCCCATTTAACCATTAGTAGCCGGTCCAGTTGGTGTAACTAACCAGTCGTAGTCGTAATATAGTCCGAAGCAATTATACGGCTGCCACATCGATTATGAATAATCACATCACTTGTTAAGACCAAGGCGAAATTTCAAGATTTATCCCTGCTTAATTTACTAAAATGTTTTCCTGTTTTATGCGCGTGTACGCCATCATACTTGAAATTCTTTTTAATTAAATTTTTTAAATTTGTATAAATATTTAAATGGAAAAAAAATTTTATCGGTTTAATTTATTAACAATTGAAACGTATAAAAGCAGTAAGGCATAATTGGCTATTAACGTATCGAATAAATAAGTTTGTTGTTTGTTCATTTAGTCCAATTTATAGAAAGTTGCGAATAAATAAAAGTATCGTATTATTTAAATATTTAAAAGTGAAATTTAATCGGTAGCATAAATAAATAATTTTTGTAGCTATACTCGTACATAACAATAAATTGTTCTCCTGTAATTTTGATTTCCGCGAGAAATAACGAATTTACAATTGAAATATGTCAGCTTATGTGTCTAATTTAAATGAGGAAAGGTAAGAGGTATCAGCTTTTTAAACAATTACAGAGAAACATTAAAAATCCATTTCTTGATTCAGATTCTGGTCCAGATGTTCCACGGCATCTCTGTTGATCCAGTATTTCATTTGACAAGTCGTTTCATTAACTTAACTCATGCGTTCCGGTTGAAGCAATAAAAGACTGGAAAGAATTACAACACTGGCCGGGATAAAATTGACGAGCAATGGCTAGTGATTGAGGAAAGGCGAGCCAAAGACGGTTTTGTACGATGGGAACAGAAGGTGGGGCAATAAATTTCTCACGTTTCTAGACTGCATAACAAGAGATGCATTCTAACGGCCAAATACACCTATTAGACAGCGAGCCGGTAACTGCCCGATGTTGATCCCTTTCTGGTTACAAGACTATCACATAAAAATTCTCATTGAAGCAAATTGAAGCCGGTCGGCAGTTTCTTTCGTCTCTCTCTCTCTTCTTTTCTTTTTTAGCTTTGTTTTTCTCTGGGAAAAAATCTCCGGTGCCATCGACTAATCCACTAATTGTTCGGCTAGGATAATGTCCTAGCATCGGCCATAAAAGACAGTTTGACAGCTTTTTATTTCCTCCCTTACTATATCGTTCGACTTATTCGATCCAGTTTACCAGGAAAAACACGCCAATGCCATCTGCAGACCGATTTCTCTTTTACCGACCATCAATTTTATGCCTTATTTATTTTAAAGGCTTTATAAGAATTTTAAGTGTCGTAATTATTCAATTAACAGAATCATTTTTGAATTACTTCAATTTTCGAATCTGCACCGCCGGATTATTTTTCTTTCCGACTCGGATCCGTCTTTAGCATCCAATCAACTCAACCGACCGTCATTCTGTTTTATGACGCCAGGTGGCGACAGGGCGTCAACCGGAAATAGTTAATGGCGAGACGGTTGTGGTGCCACCTGCCGTTCGTATTGAAAATTTTAATGCTTGGAAACGTATACGATTTACAGGAAATTGGGTTAAGTGCATTATATATATGATTGAAAATATCAGATTTGTTAACGTGGTTATTTTATACACGAGAAAAATATCGAATTCATCAAAATGTATTAATTTTTAATGTTTTAAGTTGTAAACGATCACGTGCGTTACATCTCTCTTAATTCAAGAAAATTGCATTATATCCGTTTACTCTTTTTTCCTGATATGTTACAGTGTAAAGAACAAAATTGAATGAATTTTCTTAAAAGTTTATATTTTAAGATACTCGATTAACCTTCCCTGGAGTACGGAGACAAAATGAACTGTAAAAATAATTAAATTTGCCAGAGAAAATATGCATATATATGTTTAAGAATAAAATAATAAAATTCATATTCTTTCCAGAAACAGAGCGATGAAAATTAAACATTTACGAATTGTGTGTGTATATATATATAAATATATGAGAAATTCGAACTAATTTAAATAAGTGGACGTGGAGGGATTGTTACATAATTCAAAGGATAAAATTTAGTATAATTGTACTTAAATAGACAATTTGGAAATAACAAATTTCTGTGAAAAAAATTGAAAGGAGGATTTGTTTAAATTGCATGCATCCATTTAATCATCATAAATTCTGATGGAACAGTTTTTCTTAAGATATGTGCATTGCTTAAGCCTGACATTCGATCGCCACTTCCAAACGCAGCCATTGGGTCGTCAATTTTAGCCACGTGTGTTCCATGCTCGTTAAAAACTCGTCAGTTTCGTCGTTCCAACGAAAAAAAATTCTAATCAATATTTTAAGTTGGTTTTTTCCTTCATTACTCAATAAAAAGTGGACTGACCTCAATGACCCTGTTCAACTTATCGGGGTTTTGAATTTGATTGAACATTGCCTACAATATTATGTACAAAATACCCCACTAAAATCGTATTTTTCATTTCTCTTATTTAAACCAACATTTATGCTAATACGCGATGATTATTCGATATTTGCATAAATTGAATCCCAATGGAATAGAGTAAAAAAAAAATTCCTTTCATCGATTTATGTATAAAGCCAAACTTTATAAGAATATTTGTTAAATAATCATATATTGTTTGGCCAGTCGGTTCTTGCTGGAAAATGAATTATTAATAATACTGGCGGTTTTTGCTTATTTGGTTTTCCTCGAAAAATCAGTTTAAAAATTCAAAAATGTTTGAAAGACTTCATACTGATAGTGTCGCCATCTGCTGTATGATAATTCAAATTTTTTTTTTTTGTTTTTTTCCCTTTAATTTTAGCAGATAAATCTAGTTCGTTCCGATTAAGATAATTTGTTAGGAGATAAGTCTTATTATTACTTTATCAATCAAGTTCGCTTGTCACTTAATTCCGCCCAAACTCTTAATTAATGATCGTAGTTCAACCTTTGTAGCATGGCGTGAGGCGTAAATCTTATTTTATATATAAAGTTAATAAAAAAAAAGAAGAGCAAAATGCTATAGGTTCTTCTTAAATGTCTAAGAGCCTTTAACTTTTCTTTCCGTTTTATATAACAAATATTGAAAACATTGAGTACACAGATAGTAAATTTTATAAGAATTGAGGAGTGTGTGGCATCGATACCGTCGCTCAACGGCAGTAAATTTTAAAAAACGTAGAATTTAAGACAGTCCTATGGACCGAATTTCAAAAACCAAAAGAAATATGAAATTCTCGATACCCGCTATAGATTAAGAAAGCTAAAAATTAAACGTTTTATATATAGGCTAAGTTAGAACTTTAGGCTGAAATGTGAATCCTTTTTATATTTTTTAAAAGCGATTCTGTCGATTATATTTAACGTCTAGATCGGGAGAAAAAATATATTTAAAAAAAAAAGGTGAATGTTTCACTGAATTTTGATATAATTTTGAATAAATCGCATTCGCTTAGATCCCGTAAGCCCCGCCGTTGCTCAGGTAAGCTATTTAGTTTAGTAAATGGGAATGTTCCATAAAGTCGTTCAAATTGGTGCGGAGAATGCCATAGTATCCTATATAATGTGAGTTGTTGCTATAAAATAAGTTGATTTATTTTTGTTCTGAAATAAAACGTGACTCGAAAAGAAAAAAAAAAATCTTCGATGCTCTCTAAAATACATTAGACGACTGCTTAAAGTTTTCGATCATTTTAAAATTCAAATTTATATACATTTTAGCTATTTTAATACCTACGAGGTGAGCGTGTGTTTACCTGTCAATCCATTTCAGAAGTGATAAACGTTAGAATAAAACACTCCGATACAAATAAAAGAAGAAGAAAAAAAAAGATGTCTGTCTGTCTATTTTATAACAGTGTTTATCATTTGAATTTTAATGATTATTAATTATGAATTGTATAAGAACGGTCGATGAGGAGTTTTCTATTACCTGAATGGAGAAAGACGTTGCCTTTGAAAAACATATGTCCGAATCCACTGAGAGAGTGAAACTTGAAACATATTC